GCTTCAAATTTATTTCCTATTATGCAGGTAATTTCTCTTTTCATTTCTTCTTGACCAGCTTGAACGGCTTTCATTTCGTCCTTAACGGATTATTGGCCCAATTTTATTTCTTCCTTAACGGAGTTGACGTCCCCTTCCATCTTTCCTTGGCTAGATTTCATCTCTTCTTTCATTTCTTCTTTAAAAGAGGCAAAGGCTGATATCAACTGCCTTAACTGCTATTCCATCGCTCTTGTTATTGGCATTCAAATCCCACTCCTGACGCCAGAAATTGTTGCGTGCGTACGAGTTCGTTATGAAATGAATGCACAAGTCCGATGAAAAATGAACAAAAATTTATTATTATCACAACAAAGTGCTTAAATTTTCTCAAATTATCATGCGGTATTACATAATCTCACAGTAGTTCTCTTTTAACTACGCAAATGTCCAATAGAACGTAATTCAAAACAGCTAAAGAACGCTAATCTGCGAATTCGCTAAAATCAAAAAGATCAGTTTTCTAAACAACAACAAACTGAAATGTTTTCCTCCTTTTATAAGATTTTAAAATCACGCGCTAGAATTTTCCAGTACTTTCTCGAAATCAAAAAGAGATATTTATTTATTTAATGCACGCGCTCTTGTATTTTAAATTTTCTGGCTTAGATTTCTTTTAATATTCGTCAAGCGCTGCACTGCGCGAGAAATAAAGCCATTTAATTTATAATTGAACTAACATTAGCTTTTTAAATACCAAATTCGTAACAATATCATACAAACAAGAAAGACTGATACCATGGCTACAGTGCAGAAGGAATGGAAATATGCTTTATTGACATTTTGCCTGAATGAGCAACAAACCAAATAACCTCGTTTAGGGAAATGACACTTTAACTGAAATGAATCGCACCATCTGTCGATACTGGATACCAAAGCATTTGACCATTCTTTGGGTAACATTTTCGATTAGCCAAGAAGCATCACTTCCAGACAGATGTCGGGAGATTAAGATCATGCCTCCAGGCATCTCATTTTACGTATTCAACACATGCTCAAATAGATTTTTATTCGGCATGCACAGTGCCTAATTCATTCGATGGATGCCTGCAATCCCAAAGCTTGTTTGACACCATGAGTTATACGCAGCGATATTTTGACAGCCGTAAAAGTCGACAGGCTTCCCAGTAAAACAGTAGACGGCTGAAGACAGTAACGATTTATGTAAAAATAACCTCTTTTGAAAATATGGAGCTCCGTCACAACCGTAATGGCAATGCCTCCGTATACAAGCCCTACGAAGCCTTTGGAAAAATCGCTTTCTCTGATGTTATTGGAAGAAATTCATAACCATAACTCTATAGCGACTGAAAAGCAGAATCCAGTTACACACGGATTCAGGTTCAGGTGGAAATGTAGTGGGACACACAATGTTTACTATAATTAATGTAGTTATAGTCCCACTACACTTCGTTTTATTTTTAAAGTAATATTCAAAATAGTACATAGTATAATATAGCACATAGTATAATATAACATAATATAACAGTATAAATAGTATGTCGATATTTTGATTGATATATCTATTAGATATAATTATAGTAGTTCTAATAGCTATGATAATAGTAGGCTGACAGTCATAATTTATAACAGTTCTTAATAGTTCCTTGAGATAAAGTTTATTATATGAATCTGTATCTTCTTCCTCTTCTTTTTCCCTTTTTTACTATATCATTATTATTGCAAGGGTTTGTTTTTAAGATAATGAGATAATAAAAGTTTTAGATGAATTGCAGCTTCAAAAATGAATTTTGATATTAATTGCATTAGTGCTCACATAAAGTTTTGCCTATTAAAGATAGATATTTGATTGTATTTTCTATTTTATTTTTTAAATGTTTGTCGGTAACTGCAAAACGAAGGAAGGCATTGATATTTGAATTAGGCAATTTAATACGAGTTGACTTTGTTAAGGGACATTGAGTAATATAATGGATTGGATCACCTTTATTTCCACATGCACATTGCTCAGAGTTAGAGATGTTGAATCTGAAGAAGTATGTGTGAAATGGCCCATGTCCAGTTAAAAAGAGGTTTATATAACTATTGACCATTGTACATGTATCATTTACATGAGGTGCTATTTGATGTAATTGTCTTCCTGTATTTATTGTTGTCCATTCTTCTTCCCACATTTGGAGGCTGATTTTATGTAGATATTTCTTGAGGTATAATTTCGGCCAGGAGATTTTTCTTGAAGGGATATTATTGTTGGTAGTAACTGATTTGGCTGCTGAATCGGCTTCTTCGTTACCAAGAACTCCGACGTGAGCCTTTATCCAATAAATGTTTGGTGATATTTGAGAATATTGGACAATATTGTTAAAAATATCTTGAATTATTTCAGATGTGTGTTTGAGATTTTGTAGAGCTAGTATTGCTGATTGACTATCCAAGAAAATATTGATTTTTTGTAAATTGTTATCGATAGAGCATTCTATTGCCATTCGAATTGCGTGTGTAATTCGCTTGGAAGATACTATTTTCCTTGGAGACACGATTTGGAGAGTTATTTTCTGGGTTTGATCAATTTGTATTATACATACACAGCCAACTCCTAAGTCCATTTTCGATCCATTCCAGTTACACACAGCAAGAAATATCAGTGGTAAAGAATACGGGACAGGCTATGGTGAGGTGTGCTGTGCTTCTGTTCTCTACACCATTGGAAGTGTTGGCACAGAAATGTGACTAAATATAACGCAGGATTTATACCATTCACGAGGTGCGAACGATCATTATTTATAAGGTGTCCGGTTACAGTAAACCGGGACATATGTCGCCCGACTGCCCTCGCAAGTGATGAGATGACATATATTGCCCGCTTTGCAATTTAGATACATTTTCTCTTGCATAGAAAAGTATATTTCAAGAGCTTGCATGCCGATATGTCAATTCGTTTCCATGACCGACCGCAAATCAATATTGTTGTAGCTGTAACTACCGTTCAGAAGTACTTCCAAATTCAAGCAATAAAACATTTATCTATTCAAAAGGTGACCTGATGTTTTGTCATACATATACTGCAGACGCAATATCACTTTTACGTGGAGAAGATTGGCTAGAACGGCATGTTGTCTTTTTCATTTGATGCTCTTCTCCACTGCTAGCCCAGACTCCTCGAGTCTTGCATGCCCGCACATATATTATATAAAAAAAGCAACGTAGGCTGTTAGAACTTAGAAATGTCTTTTACGTGTAATTCCATTGATATATATGTAATCAACATTTCTTAAAAGAAAAAATATCCAGGACAAATGAGTTTCTCTGGAAATATTTAATTCGAAAATCATTTTCTCCTCAAGAATGCAGCCCCCAAAAAATATCACACGAAATTTATACACTCACAACCAATAAATCTGCAAAAGGAAACTTTCATTTTTAGGTTACGTATAGTTATGTGCAGAACGCAACCAAATCTCTCATTTTGGTGTTAATTCGAAACCTATCCACTTACAAAGAAAGATAGAATTTGCATTACAGTACTTACATTATATTATAATTCTTTAACATTGCCTTTTAACGCAATTATTAAGACCTATTGTCTCGCGCATAAATAAACAAATGATTCCATTGAAATAATTATATTCTCAAAAGTGAACTAACACTTCGAAGAAAAAGATAAGTGAGCGCAATAGTTTTCGAACCTATTTATTACGTCTCTAAATAAGTACGTATCTAACGTCTCTTCTTGCCAATGCCAATGATTTGCTATTTTCGGAGTGCCTATGGTTCAAAACCATTTACCTCCACATCAGAATTACTAAAAGTGAGCAGAAATAGGAAACATTTGGCATAAGTGATTTACTTGATGCTCAATAGAGGGAGCCACAGGCTCGAGAAAGTTTAAGGATAGAGATGAGAAAATAAAAACTTAAATATCATAATTTTTTTATAAGTTTTTAGGTTTTTATAATTTTTTTTTTGTATTTTACATTTATACACAATACAAACACTAAAGCAAAAAGCGGATAGGAAAGAGTTTACGATTAATATGCTCATTGGCATGTGGCTTGTGTAGGAGAGTGCAAATAATTAATGGGATCGCGATGAAAATATTCTTAGGCAGATCTAGAATCTGCCGGAGATGTTATTCTTAAGTAAACAGATTGATAACTTTGCTTGAAGATCTTGGATTGCAGTTGTAAAAGATGAAATAAGCAATTATATGGCAGCTCGCTGAAGAGACGTCCTTCCTTCATGGCGCGGGGGCTGGAACTGATGTTAAGAGGGCGTGTCTTGCCCTTACGTCTCTTAAAAGCAAAAATGTAATCAAACATGATAGTTGTTTTAAAAAAATAATTGGCGACCTCAAAATTAACATTCTATATTTGGTGAGCTTCCCCATTAGGTTCCTCTTTTCTTCCAGGTTCCTGATTTTTCAATGTTGCGAAACGTCTTAATGCAAATACCTCTTGTCCCATCAAATTAATTATGAACCAAAATTTGGAACTGAAACATTTCTGACTGCCAATCTTCTTTCTCTGAAGTACTAAGACACTCTTTCCATTTTCGCATAAGATGGTTGGCAAGATGCTTTTCAACCGCGTTGCTGTCGATTACTTGCTTTAGATGACGTCGTACTCAAGACGCAACTTGTATTCAAATATAATTAGGGAACATTTTGTCTGCAAAAGGATTCTTTAATACACGTAAAGGAATAAAGATTGTGAATCTTCTTAATCCCCTGTGTGCCAAATACGTCGTCATGAATTTCCACTCAGCTCTACCTTCAGCCACTACGGTGTTCTCAGCCATCTAGGCAAAATCAAAAGGTGTTTAAAAGTTCCTGTGTTTAAGTCTACGCCATTTAATATTATTACATGTATATATATCGGTTCACTATGACGCCTAAATGCAATAATAGTCTTAAATTGTATTAGCACTTAAACAGATAACAGTGTTTTTCATTCCTATCATAAGATGAGATAAATAATCTAAAACATTACGAATAAAATGCATACCTTTATTGCATATGTCGCATGTAGTGTCTTCTGGGAATGCATCTGTCGTACCTGCGTGAAGAAATAGTTCTTTTAATGTATTTCCAACTTAAAAATAAACTGCGCTTTGAAATCCTTTCAGCTAGTACAGCAGCCTAAAGACATTTTCTTGGCATTAAAATAACTAATATTTTCTTTTTATGAAAGCTAAAGGGAATTTAAACTAAATTATAAAAATGAAGCCTATTCAACTCTTTCAACTGCACATTCATCATATCGCAATCATCTTTCCCAAATTTGATCTGATTTTAAACATGGATATAGGAGATAAACATGGATATTTAAATTTCCATATCAGTAAGGAGTGGTTTCTTCCTTTCGCATTGATTAACATAAGTTTAAAATTAATGTTCTTTAATTGTTGTATATTTTACTATGAACTTATATTTTAGGACTCTAATTAAGTATGTGTACGACGTCTCTGTTAAAAGCAAAAATATAAACTAATCTACAGACAATCGATTCATATATGACGCCTAAATGCGATAAGAGTACCTGATGCGATTATCGATTACCAATTTAGAAAATACCAGTGTGTTCCTTCTTATCATAAGACTTCAACTAGATAACTATTTGTAATAATTATGAATAAAATGGATAATTGTATTGCCTTTATCGCATGTAGTTTCTTCGTGGATTCACATGGCCTACCTGCGGGCAGAAATATTTATTTCAAATGTACTTTCAACCTAAAAAAACAAGGTTAATGTAGAAAATGCTTCAGCTAATGGCAGCCTAAAGCACGGTTTTTGGTATTAAATAACTAATATTTATTTTACTCATGAGAGGAGAAGATTATTCAAATTGAATTACAAAACAAGCTAATTCAACTCTTTCTACTGAACATTCATCATGTTAAACAGTTAATTCTCAAATTAGATCTGATTTAAAACATCCGTATAGGTGCAAATATTTTCAGAAATTCCTAAAATTTATAAATAGTTTGAAATTGTATATTCAGCCCAAAACCTTAAATGTGTTATTTTAATAGGCTGTATTTGAGATTCGTCTTAAAATAACCTAATCTAATACCACATTCATGACGTGGTCTGTAATAACAAAAGCATTAAATGTTAGAATCTCGATGATGTCCTTCAGTTTAATTTCCCTATCCGTAAGGGGAAGTTTTTAGCTATACAAATTGCTTAACATAAGGGTCACATTACTTTGATTTCACTGCTATATTTTATAAAAATAATGTTTAAAATTGCGGCAATGTTTGAAAGAATTCAGGAAGTGGCAAAATATATAAACATGTATAGTAGCTAACTGTAACATATTTAGTACTGCTGAATAACTTTTACTTAAATTTTTACTGATATATTTACCATTTCGTAAATGCGGTTTTAGTCGAAAACTTTCAACTGAAAATCGTTTCCTTTTCACTGCATACCAGAAATAAAGAAACGTCATATGGCACGCCATTTGAAAACAGATAAAGTTACATGAGAATAATATTTCTTATTTTTATCTACATTAGTGTTCACAGAGTAAGTCATTTTACTTACTTTGTCCGGATTTAATCAAATGCGTGGCATGAAATTCACCTTACAGCGGCATAATATATTACAAAGAATGACGTAATTATACAAATGTAAAACTTAATCCGAAGGCTACAGTGCAGAACGAATATAAACATGCTTTATGGACACCTTGCCTGAATGAACGAGAAACCAAACAGCTTCATTTAGGGAAATGGCGTCCTTTAACTGCAATGATTTCTTTGTACTGTATTTCGCTACTAACTACTAAATTATCTAATCGTTCTTGGAGTAAAATGTTCGATTTTAAACCAACCATCTCTTCCAGTTGCTCCGGTCAGATGTCGGGAGACTAAGATCATGCCAACAAGCATCTCTCTTTAAGTATTCAACGCATGTTCAAATAGATTTATATTAGGCGTGCATTTTGGCTAATTCATTCTGTAGATACCTGCCATTCCCAAGGCCTGTTTGGCAGCATGAGTTATACGTAGCGATGCTTTGACAGCCGTAAAAAGAAAGTCAGCTCGATAGGCTTCGCGATGCAAAAAGTACATGGTGGAGGACAACTTCACAACTTATGCCAAATTAACCTCTTTTGAAAATGTCGAGCTCCGTCTCTACCATAGTAATGCCTCCTCCGTATACAAGCCGTATCGATCCTTTCGAAACATCGCTTTCCTTGACGCTACTGGAAGAAATGCATATCCATAACTCTCTATATAGCTACTGTCGGGCATAATCCAGTTACACATTGAAGCAATTCTCGGTAAATGTCAGCGTCAACTATGGTGAGGTGTCCAGTGTTCTCTACACCATTGCAAGTGTTACACTAATAGGCTACCGTATATAATACTCAGGATTGCGCTTTATACCATTCAGTTGTGCGAATTATAATTAAATAATTAAGGCTATTATTAATTATGCATATTTAGTCTAAACATAAATTTTAAAAATATAGTTTAAAGTACTGAAGTAATTAAAGGCTATTATTAATTATGTATATTTAGTCTAAAGAGAAAAAATCGTATTATCTTCTGGTTTTCAAGAAATGATAACATTTTTAAACTTTAGAAAAATACCAAGAATACAAAACAAAAAAAAAAAAAAAAAAAAACCCATTTAATTTTAAGCTTATTTTTTTACATAAATCATTATGTAATACAAGGACATAATAACGACGTTTTCACAACTGTAACATCAAGGTCGAATTCCGCGAAAATTTAGACGTCGTTAACACGTCCTGGTCCGATGCTTTCACAACCAAATTATAACCTGAGAAAGACGCAATAACGACGTGTATTCAACATAAACCTCATCTGCAAAGACTTAAACACAGACGTCTTTGCAACTGTTGCAAAATAGTGGAGTTTCGCGGACATCTGGGCGTCTAAATGACGACATATTGCAAAGTTTTTGCAACATGAATCGCCACCAGTTTGCAATTCGTTAAGAAGTTGCGGTGCCCCTTGGGAATCTTCTCTTTTTCGCATAATGCTCTCCTGCTAGACAAGATCCTTTTAATCTATGGTGCTGCCGATCACTTGCTTAAGATGACACAGTACATTAAAAGGAAACTTGTATTCAAATATAATTAGGAAACATTGTGAATCTTCAAGATCCGTTGTTACTGAATATATGATCATGCATTTCCACTCAGCCCTACCTTCAGCCAATATGTTTTTCTGAACCATCTACGCAAAATCTAAAGCTGTTAAAATGTTCCTATGTTTCAGTCTACGCATTTTAAAATTATTACATGTATATATATACGATTTACATATGACGCCTAAATGTAATTCGAGATATAGTCCCAGACTGATTTACAACTTAATAACAGTGTTTTTCATTCGTATAAAACTTAACAGAGAAAATTATTTGTAATAACTATGAATAAAATATATACCTTCACTGCCTATGCTGTATGGAGTTTCTTCTGGGGTTCCATCTGTCGTACCTGTATGAAAAATATTTATTAAAACTTATTTTCAAACTAAAAATAAACTACTGTACGAAATGGTTTCAGCTATTGGCAGCCTAAAGCTCCGTGTTTGGTATTAAATGTAACTAATATTTTCTTATTTATGAGAGCAAAATGCATGTTCAAATGAAATAAGAAAAAGAAGCTAATTCAACTCTTTCTACTGAACATTTATCATATTAAATAGTTCTCAAATTTGATCTGATTTTAAACATCCGTAAAGGAGCAAATATTTTTAGAAATTTCTAAAAATTATAAGTAGTTTGAAATTGTAGATAGAGCCAAATTGCTTAAAAATGTTATTTTAATAGGCATAATTTGTGATTCGTCTTCAAATAATGTAATCTAATACCACATTCAGGACGTAGTGTGTAATAACAAAAGGATAAAATGTCAGGATCTCGATGTTTACGTTCACTTTAATTTCCATATCAGAAAGGTGTGGTTTTCAGCTTTTCAAACTACTTAACTTATGACTGACGTTAAATTATCAGACGAACCGTCGAAAGGTTAAATATATTCGTATAATTCGCTGAAAGGTTACACGTAGTTGCTGTTCCACCGATTCACATTCCATGTATATTGTTCACTGGATGATTATAAAACAAACATCTGAGCTCGAGGGTTGCTAGCTTTGGCTAGCTGCCAAATTTGAACCATTTCTTAACTGCAGAATAATTTCAGACACCATCTTATTTTCAGGAATATTTTCTTTACGGTTTACTAATTCACTGTCAGAATTAAATCCTTAAGCATCAGTATCATAATGTAACACTGTTTTGAATTGAGGAGAAATCATTGTGGTAATGTCGAATTTATGCTTATGTTGTTTGTGAATATCTGCTCTACAGGACGACACCAGCTAGAGTCGTCCATACAATGAAATACACTCACTTCCAAAAGTTAAGCCCGAAGATGTAAAATGCAAAACAGTCAACAAATACTGCTTTGATTGACACAAATTTAGACAGGAAAGTAGCACTTATATTTATGCATAAATATACGCAGAAATGAAAATAATATTAAATTTTTGTAAGTTATCAATAATGACTTACTGCAGACTTAAACAGAATTATGTATGAAGTGAAAATAAACAGCATAAAATGAAAACAAGGACATTTATAGGGTATGTGATCCCCCCCTCAGCTCTGTATACAAAGATTACACATTGTGACCATGCTCTCAATTATGTGTCAACCGCCGCAGAATACGCAATCACCATTCTTCTTGTAAAGCGCTTTCCAGCTCAATAAGAGTGGCTGGAGGTGGGAAACGTGAAGATACAGCACGGCCGAGAGCATCCGAAAGATTTTCCGTGGGATTAAGGTCGGGCGAATATGCTGGCCATGCCATACGCGCAATCCCTTCACTCTCCAGGTAGTCATCGACAATGTCATGTCTATGGGGACGTGCGTTATCGTCCATTAAAACAAACGTAGGGCCAACTGCTGCAGCGTAAAATCTCGCAATGGGTTCTAGGGCTTCATCTCGATACCGGACAGCCGTCAAAGAACTCCGTTTTAAGATGTGTTGGTCGGTGCGATATCCTAATGAAATCCCTGCCCACATATGCTTCCGCCTCTGAATACCTGATGTTCGGTGATGTTTTGGGACTTATTGCGTGTTCGTTGTTCATGCCATATCCTTATACGCTTGTCGTCTGGCTCCAAATTTTGACTCATCAGCAAACATGACATTACCCCAATCAGATATATTCCAATTGACATGCCCGGCACTACTGTAATCGTGCCCTTCTTGATTGGACGAATAGAGCAACACAAACTTGAGGTAACTCGAGGTAAAGTCCACTCATATGTAATCTTTTGCGTACAGTAGCTGCAGATATCGCCTTACTAATGGAGGCTCTAACCATAGATAGCACACGTGTAGAGGTCGCTCTGCGATTCCACTTGGTTACAATAGCAATATAGCGATCCTACCGGCTATGGGCCTTCAGACAACTGTCTGTGTGGTTAGGAATTGTTTCCCTAAGCGTGAAATTACAGAATGACGAAGGCAAAAGAAAAGAGCAACATCTGCGATTGACTGTCCTGGTTCAAGGCGCCCCACAGCACGCCAGCGCTCAAAATCTTCCATTCGTCTTTCAGAAATCATATAAATACGTATGTCTTGAAAATAAATTGTACGAAAGTTTGAAACACCTTCTATCAACACTTACAATCACCTTCTGAACCCTTCATAATGCTGACTTCTTATAAGACTGCCTTTTTTGCATATTTCTTGACATGAAAGCGCGATTGGCTGTTACCTAACACATTTAGATTCTTCTATCTAAAACTGTAGCGTATTGTCTCCTTTTCAATTTTGATTGTATTCCGGAAATTAGCATTTTCCTCTCGGTGCTTAACTTTTGGAAGTGAGTGTAATAATCTGTTTTGGTATTTTATGTGTTTCCGGTGATTAAAATTTTGTGGAGATGTTCTGCAATATTAATTGGTTATAGCGGTGCAATACGTGGATGCGTGGATTAACGTTATATTTTTAAACACGGATTCGTGTATAACGTCCTAAAGTGTTACATCGTATTTCATTCACAATAATTGATTACTGTGTTCGTAATGACAGGTTGAACCTCAGATTTTCCGCATATGATCGAAAATCGTATTGTTAAGGAAATATTAGCATTACTATGAAATATTGTAATCTATAATTATCTGATATTTAATTGCGTAATATTAAAACATTCAAAATTTTTATTGTTTGCAAATATGCAGGTTTATTACTTGTCGTTTGGTATCTATTCTTCCAAACACTGTGTAATTTGCGTTTTTTTATATATTGCTGTTATGTATGTTTATTAAATTATTTCAATAATTGAATGTTCGAAATTAGGTTTTGTTATTTATTAAATTTAAGTATATTCTATTTTCTTCGGTTACATTACATGTGCTTGTGATAACAAAGAAATTCATAACAAAATCTAGACAACATGTGCAATTTATTTTAATCCTGTGCTATTTAACGAACAGCTTACTTTAACGTACTTAGCTGACTATCCTATACTACAGTATTTCTGTACAGTATCAAAAGGAAAGATAGTGATTACTAAAAGTGCATGAAATTAATCTTTGTAATCTACCACTATTCTAAAAATGTGTAAACCTAGCACTAAGTAAATGCATTTATATAAGATCGAAAGAAACGGTGTTAAGGAACATCGGCATTACTAATAAATAATGAAATCCGTAATTATTGCACTTTTAATTGCTTACTATTTAAAAAGACCAAATAATTTTTATTAATTGGAAATTTCAGTCCTCTTACTTACCTTCTGCTATTTATACTTTCAATCTCTGCTAGTTGATATACTTTCTTAAAGTGTGCAGTCATGCATTATGTTTGTTAGGTTATTATTTCATTTTAAGATATGTATATGGGCAAGTAGGTTTTTTGCCATTAGGTTTAGGTATATTTTTCGTATAGAGAATGTTTTTGACCACATTTTTTAATTACTTTATATAGTCTATTCATTTGCATATCTCTTGGAGATATCGAAGTTAATGGTAATATATATTTTACTACGAAACGCGAAAAAATGTATATACTTCAGTTCAGGTAAAATACTGATTATGTTACCTTATGCTTCCTAATGTATTATACCAGGAGCAATTTTTATTGTCTCCTCAGATTTCAACAGAATTAAATGTGATAATGCTGCTATAATCAGAAATGCTGTTTTTTTTTACCCACATATATAGCTTTACTTTTATTTACCTCTGATTGAGTTTTATTTACTTAAAACCTACTATTATTATTATATATTTATAATATCCACTTTCATAATGACTCTCACCTACATACTAAAGTTTAAGGAAAAAGAATGGAGAAATATTAAATAATCCCCCCATAACACAAGACTTAAATCCTATTTAAGTTATTTTAGAAATATAGTTTAAAGTAATGAAAATAATTAAGGCTATTATTAATTAAGCATAGATAGTCTAAAGGGAAAATTAAAAAATATAGTTTAAAGTAATGAGAGTATTTAATGCTATTATTACATATGTGCATTTAGTCTAAAGAGAAAAAAACTGTATTATCTTGTGGTTTTCAGGAAATGATAAAATATTTAAACTTTAGAAAAAAAAAAATTAAAAAAAGAAGAAAAATACATTCATTTTTGAGCTTAATTTTCTGCATAAACCATTATGTAATACAAGGTCATATTAACGACGTTTTGACATCTATTGCAAAAAGGTCGAATTCCGCGAACGTTTAGGCTTCGTTAAGACGTCGTGATACTGTGCTTTCACAACCAAAATATAACCTGAGGAAGACGCATTAACGACGTCTATTCAATATAGACCTCATCCGCAAACATCTAATAAAGATGTCCTTGCAACGGTTGAAAAACAGTGGAGTTTCGCGTACATCTCGGCGTAATAAAGTCGACATATTGCAAAGATTTTGCAATATGACTCGCGACCAGTTATAATTGGCCCTGTTCCCTTTTTCGCATAATCTTTTCTGCTTAAAAAGTGCTTTTCATCCATGCTCCTGTCGATCACCTGCTTAAGATGACGTCGTACATAAAAATGAAACTTGTATTCAAATATACTTAAGAAACATTGTGAATCTTCAAGATCCGTTGCGCTAAATACATAATCATGCATTTCCACTCGGCCCTACCTTCAGATAATATGGTCTTCTCAACAATCTACACAACATCGAAAGCTGTTAAAAGTTCCTATGTTTTAGTCTACACATTTTAAAATTATTACATGTATACATATCGATTCATATATGACGCCTAACTGAATAATAGTCCCAGATCGCATAACATCTTAAACAATTAACAGTCTTTTTAAATCGTATAAACACTTAACTGAGATAATTACTTGTAAAAATTATGAATAAAACAGATACCTTTACTACGTTTGCCGCATGGAGTTTCTTCTGGGATTCCATCTGTCGTACCTGCGTGTAAAAATATTCTTTAAAATTATTTTCAACCTAAAAATAAGCTATGCTGTGAAATGCTTTTATCTAGTACAGCAGCTTAAGAATATTTTCTTGGCATTTGTTCGGTGTCTGAAAGAGTATTTCTTGGCAGCATTGTTTTACGCGAAGCGGAGTTTGGCTCTAGTGTAACCCCAAAGTTATTTCGTTTTTGCCTTATTAGTATGTAGGTTTTTCTGACTTGATGTAAGAGCATATGGCTGCTCGCTCTTAGATAAGTTACATAGGTAACTATAAGCACATGCGTGTGCTAATATTCAATAATGTTGTTTTTGTTAAAATAAATTGTTATTGTTAATATTACAGTCCACTTACTGAAGTTAAGTATCATTAAATAAGTTCGAGCTATCTTCGGCAGGAACAGTTTGGTCTCTGTAGCCGGAGAAGAAAAAATCTCGTTTTAAACAACTCTTAGTGGAATACACCAATTTGCCAGAGGAAATTGACTTGAAGGATAATCTACGCATTGCACAAGAATTGGAAGAAAGCATGGAAGAGTTCGAAGTAAGATTTAGAATTTTTCTTTCTAATTGTGAAACAAATAATAAAGATAAATTTGAAACCAAACCTGTTTTTAAATCAAGTTTTAAACTGCCTGATTTACCTCTTCTTCAATTTTATGGTAAATATGAAGATTTTAAAAATTTTTAAGTGCAATTTATGTCTATGATTTGTAATAATAATAATTTAAATGATACTGAGAAACTGTTTTATTTGAAAGCATCACTTAAAGGTGAAGCAAAAATGTTAGAATCATGTCACGATACATTTGAGTCGCTATTTTCTGCACTTGAAGGCAGATATGAAAACAAAAGATCAGTAGTTGATGCCTTTTTATTAATAATTTGTTGAACTTTGAACAAATAAATGACTCACCTTCTCAGTTGAGATCACTGGTAGATAATGTTAAGAGATGTCTGAGATCTTTAAGTGTTATTAGAATTTGATTAGAATAATTTATCTGATGTTTTGATATTAAATATTTTATTGCATAAATTAGATGAGAATCTAGAAAAGCATTTGAACTAAACGTAAAATCAAATGAAATTCCCAAACTTGATGAATTTTTAGAATTTCTCGAAGAACGAATTCGCATTCTTGAAGAAATAAACAAAGTTAGTTTTCCTAAGCAGAGCTATGCTACTAAAGTATCAAATCAATTAAGTCGCTCTAGAAATTCAAAATCCTTGGTAACTAAAACAAACCCTTTTCGAAAGTGTATTATGTGTAAAGAAAACCACACCCAATTTATCATTGTTCGAAATTTAAAAGCATCTCTATTTCTGAGAGGTATGATTTTGTTAAGGAATATAAATTATGCATTAAATGCCTTTCTTTCTCCATCATACGTATTATCGCAGTGTAAGGCTAATTTCAATTGTTATGTCTGTAAGACAGACAACATTCTTCGCTATTACATACAATTGGACGAAAAAAAAAATGAATCATCGAAAGAAAATGAATTGACCTTGAACCTTTCGTCAGTGAATGGAAAGAGTACTGCCCCTCTCCCCCACACACAACTTTGATGGCAGCTGCAAATAAATCTAAATTTCTGTTAATAAATACAGCGAATTTTTATCTTCGCGATGTTTACGATGACCGAACTCCTTTTAGAGCCGTGCTTGATTCAGCTTCGAACTTCTAATTTTCGTACTGTAGGTGTTATGAACTCATTAGGAATAAAAAAAGAACGAGCATTTATTCTAGTTAGTGGAATATGCAATACTCCTTTGAATATTAAATCACAAATAAAGACGCGTTTATCGAACTTAGAAAAAGAAAATGAATGGGAAATAGAGTTATTAGTTGTTCCCAAAATAACTGACATGACACCGTCGAAATCTATTGATATTTCGGAATTAAACATTCCGAAAGGAATAAAGTTAGCTGATGATGAATTTTTGAAGGCAAAAAAGGTAGATTTATTATTAGGTGCGTAATTATCTTTTGAATTTTTAAAAACAGATAAAATACGTTTAGAAGATAATGAGTTACTTCTTCAAAACAGCTGCTTTCGGCTTTTTAGTTTCTGGAAGCATTAGAATTCCAAATGTAAAAAAAAATTATGACTTAAATTATTTTGACTTTTTTTATTTTTTTTGTCAACAGAGATTAATTCGTTAAATAACTTAGTAAAGATCATTCTGGGAAGTTGAAGAAGTAAATGAAACTAAATCTACAGTTAATTCTGAATTAAATTACTGCAATGAACTTTTTGAAAACTCATTTTACCGACATGCGGATGGAAGATATGTGGTTAAAATGCCGTTCATGCCAGACATTGGAGAAAACATACAATTAGGGGATTCAAAGGAAATCGCTGAAAAAAGACTGAATCAATTGTGGAAACGTTTGTCAAGTGATTCTGTAATGAAAGAACTTTATGTTTCATTTTTAAGGGAATATGAATCATTAAATCATACGGAAAAGATGGAAGACTATTCCGAAACTGAAGGAGGATATTTTCTACCTCATCATGGCGTGCTGAAACCTGATAGTAAAACAACAAAGTTACGTGTCGTGTTCGACGCGAGTGCCAAAACTACTAACGGTTTTTCATTGAACGACATATTATGTAAAGGTGGAATAATTCAAGAGGAACTTTTTTCCATCATGATACGGTTTAGAAAACACATTTATGCATTTACTGCCGATATTGAGAAGATGTATCGGCAAATTGAAATATTGCCATCGCAGACCAAATATCAAAAAATACTTTGGAAGGAAGATAAAGATAAGCCTATAGAAATATACAGACTCAAAACGGTAACTTATGGCACAGCATGCACTCCATATTTGACACAAAGGACTCTTCAACAGTTAGCGAAGGATGAAGAAAAGGATTTTCCTGTAGCATCGAAAATGGTCTTGGAAGATTTCTATGTAGACGACTGTCTTACTGGATCTTCGAATTTGAAGGAATGCATTAAACTCCAAAAACATTTGACAGAATTGCTCCAAAGAGAACGAATGAAGCTACACAAGTGGTGTAATAGTTTTGATTCGCAGAACTCTGATTTTCAGAATTTTTCATTTGATCGTGATAGTAATACAACTGTGAAGACGTTAGGTATGTTGTGGAATAATAAGAAAAATACATTGCAATATAAAGTTACTGTTAATGAAAATCCTGATGTTACGAAAAGAGATGTTTTATCTCAAATAGCGAGATTATGCGATCCTTTAGGCCTACTCGGTCCTATTATTAGCAAGGCAAAGATATTCATTCATTGCTTAAGCTAGACTGGGTGGAACAGTTACCACCGCCTCTTGCCAATGAATGGAATGTGTTTATTAATAAACAAAGAAAAAAGCCTGATAGTTACCCTCACCAGGTTAATGCTGTGTCTATTAGAGCTCAAAAGAAAAGAGAAATAGCTGAAGAGAAGATCTTGCAACCGATGGAGGAAGAAAATAAAGCATTCAGAGATGTTTTTGAAGAAGATAATTTACCGGAACTAAATACGGAAGATGAGGCTCTCATGAAGCTGGTAAACATTGAATCAGAAGAAGTTGCACAACTTCAGCTTACTGATAAGGAACTGTCTAAAATCATCAAAGAAGTCAAAGAAGGTACATGCAAAAATGAGAACTATAGTCTTTCAATAAAAGAGCTTTTAGTTAAAAAAACGACGGATAAAATGTTCTTTGAAAGACAGCTTGTCGTTATACCTGAAAAACTCAAGCCTTCAAATGTAAAGATGTGCCACGAAGAAACTTCTGGTCATTTGGGTGTCAAAAAGACCAAAGACAGACTTGCTAGGTATTTTTACTGGACGAGGCGTTACAAAGAAACTGAAGATTTTGTAAGAACCTGTAATGCTTGTCAGCGCGCTGGAAAAGGAAATGACAAAAATAAGGATCCAATGACATTAGTACCAGTAATTTCCGAAATTTTCACTAAAATTAATGTCGATGCTGTTGGTCCGCTACCTATTTCAAAGACTGGAAAAAAATATATTATTATAGCTCTGTGTATGTCGTCCAAATATCCAGATGCTGTTGCCGAGAGAGTCATTTCTTCGCCATCTGTGATTGATGCTTTCTTACAGATTTTCAGTCGTATGGGTTTCCCAAAAGTGATCCAAACAGATCACAGGACCTCTTTCGTCAGTGCTTTGACGGAGGAATTTTTGGAGCGTTTCGGAATTAAACATGTAAGAAACTATGTGTATCATCTGCAGAGTAATCCCATTGAGCGATTCCATAGAACGCTCAACTTTTGATTGGGAGAATTATCTACCATCAGTTCTTTTTGCCTCAGAACAGTCACACACGAAAGCACTGGTTTTACACCAGCAGAATTAGTTCATGGCAAAAACCTACGAACGCCAGTCACTTTACTTTATGAGCAGTGGCTACAACCAACTGAAGAAAGTAATAATGTTGTCAGTTACGTTTTCGAACTTATTAATCGAATGAAGAAAAGCCAAGAACTTGCCGTGGGAAACATGAAAGAAGCTCAACAACGGAGGAAAAAAAGGTACGATCGAAACGCAGTGAAAAGAGAATTTGCTAGAGGAGATTTATTTCTTGTTTTATCAACGAATCGACAAAGTAAACTAGAAGTCCAAAGGAAAGGACCTGAAAAAATAGAGCAGAAAATTTCAGAAACCAATTATATTGTAAGTTTCGAGGAACAAAATGAGCCAAATCAAGTATATCACATTAACATGCTTAAACCATATTACAAAAGACCAGAAATTATTAATATGATAACTAAAGTGGAAGGAGACTTAGAAACGGGCATTCCTCATTTACCTTCCAATCCAAGTATATTAAATTTCTCGGACATCATAGAGGAGAATGAACTCGAGAAAAGGTTGAAACCATGAGCAAAATAGAAGATTTATGAAAGATTTTATGGAAATATTCTGGTTGTTTTTCAAATAATCCTGGACTAACAAAGTTAGTTTGTCACGATATTGAGCTATTAAATAATGAACCAATAAATGCC